CCCGACCCAGGAACATTGTTATATCACAGGTGGTCCTGAGGAGTATTCTACACTGACGTGTTCTGGGCGTGCCTACGACATGTGACAGGGCACGCATGCGCACTAGCGATTGCCAGCTGCCTGAGCTGACTTTGCATGCAGCCGACCCCATGGCTGCTCAAGTAAGTAAGCTGAGCTGGCTACCCGAGAAACAGCCTGAAACTAAAAAGACCTGATGTAGTCAACGGCAGCCTGAAAAGAGACACGTTTGTTGCTGCCGAACTTAAAGCATTTCTCCTGGCCCACGGCAGCGCGATCAGGCCACGCGCGCCAGCCCCCCTTTGAGGCGCTGGGGCTGACCTTCCCCTTGCCGACGTGCACTGACCCCTGCTTTGGCACTTCGGGGAGGTCTGAATTCTTCGGAGCTTTCTTCGCAACTTGGACAGCAGACGCGTGTGCTAGACTGGCAGCCGCGGGACGCTTCTTGGCGCTGGGAGCGCCGGCTGCTTCCATGGCAGCTTCTTCTCGTTCCTCTCAGCCTCAGCTTTGGCCTTGGCCCTCTGGACCAACTGCTCGCGCTCGGCCTCGAGCTTGCCGGCTACGGCAGTCGCAGCGACCTCATCGCTGCACGCCGCGTCCGCTAGCATCGGGGCCTTTGCGACCTTCGTGTGCTTGTCTAGGTCGCCTGAAAGAACGGCAAGCGCTGACGGCGGCTCTTGGCTGTCAGGTGGGCCGCCCATTGCGGCCTCCTCTTGGGCCTTGCTCGGGGCTGGGAGGTACCTCATTGGAGTCGCCCAGGCAGGCTCCATGGACGGAGGGCTAGCAGCGTCCTGCACGGGCAAAGCAGCGGGAACTTCTACTGTGCTCGACATCATAGGAGGCAGCCCAGGCTGTTGAAGTGGTGCGACGCCTCCAGCGCCAGTGTACTTGATGTTCACCTGCCCCATTCCCGATCCATTGGCGAAGCCAGCCATGCCCAGCTGAAAAGCTTGCTGTTGGCTCAAGCCCATAGCAGACGCAGCAGCCATGAAGTTCATCACGTTGACCTGCTGCGGCTGCGGCGTGCCGAAATTCAGCGCGTTCGGTAAAGCCGCAGGAGCAGATTTGGGAACAGCTCTGGGAACGGAGTCCCTGACGGTCACGTTCGTCGGCCGACATGATACTCTCTTGCGAACGATGAGAAACATCGGACTGTCGAACGTCACTGGAGGGCCCTCGTCTGTGTACATGGACTTCTGGACCTGCACTGGAAGCTCCGAGGGCTTGTCACTCAACGAACGAAGAACTGGCAAGCTATCCACTCCAGGTGGTGGACTGCTGAAGTAGCTCGGGAAGCGATGGGCCATGTTGTACATATTGACGGGGTCTTGCTCGCTCCCCATTGCAACGGCGCGCGCAGCCACCATGTCCGCGCATGCAGGGGGGCTCGGCTGCACCATGCCTCCTTTCATCAGCCTGGTGGCAATCCGCATTGCTTTGGCAGCGTCGTCGAATGGCTTACTCTGGTCATTGATGACTGCCCAGTCGGACGCGGTGAGGTAGCTGAGAATAGAGTCACGCTTGGCGAAGGACTGCTTCTCCGTGGGGAGGAGACGGCTGGCTGTCGAGCTTCTCAGTAGCTTCTCGTCGATGCAATTGCTGATCGTTTTCTTTTGATCGGTGCTGAAGGACGATTGACTGAGGGCCTTGAGAAGAGCCCCAGCGCTCTCGCTGAACACTGGCTGCGAAATCGACGTAACCATTGCACAGATGCTGGAAGCCAGTGAGGCTCGAATCTGTTCCAAGGCGGCACCATCAACACCAACGGCCTCGTTGTCAGCCAGGAACGCTGACACTTCCCTGCATCTCCGTCAGGCAACTTGAAATGGTAGCCATCTCTTGCAGGTGGAAGCGTAAAGGACTGCAGCGCGCGAGGAGATCTCCTTTGACAACGTCGCAAAACAAAGGCTTAAACCAAAGCTAACTACGGAGAGAAGTGGCTGACAAGAATAGAAATCTCTCCAAATCGGCCCTTGCCAGCATAGAATAGCACATCAACTTGGACGGCACGCGCTGCACAGGGCAGCCGAGACTGAACTGAGACTGAAAATCACCATTCGATGAGAATTTTTCAGTTTTGAAAATTTCGAGAGAATTTTCAATTCTAAAAATTCTCTTCGATCCGAACCAAACGGAATTTTCAAAATTGAAAATTCTCTCCGGAGGTCTTCGAAGGAAACTTTCAAAATTGAAAATTCTCTTCGAAACGTCTCCGACGCTTCCCGCTGCGGTTCCAAGCCGAACTGAGGTCAAGGAGGCCAGATGGAGAGCTCGTGAAATGCCGATGGAGGCACACATGCAGCGCCGACAGACCAAAGTCCTCAGACCTGGGGGCTCAGGATTCAGGGCTACGCCTGTGCTCTCGAGTACGCACTGCTTTGCCGACTGTCTACGATCTCAAAAAAAAAAAAAAAACTCATTCCCCTACTCTCCTGACCTCCCACTTTCCGTACTTTCTCACCGATGTCCTGCAACCTCGCTGACGCTAGCAAGCACCCTCATTCAAGCTATCCGCATCCTCTTCCCTATCCTTCCCGTTGTCCTCCATTTCTTTTGTTTCAACCTCACTTGAAAAAAACGTGCGTGCTATTCCTCCTCATCTCCCTCCTCCTCCTTCTCCTCCTACCTTCTATATTTCTCATCCTCCTCATCCTACTCCTCCTCCTTCTCCTCCACGTGATCTATTCCTACTCATATTCGTATTCCCCCTTCTCTCCCCTATCTTCCTCATCCTCCTCCTCCTTCTCCTTCTGGTCTACATGCTCGCTCTGCTATGGACTGTGACGCAGAAGTTGGTAGTCAGACGGACGCTGCGATGCTGATAGATGTGGATGCGATGATCATGATTATGTTTTGTCTTTGCTGGCTAAGCGCAGGGCGCGTATCTAGGTGCAAAGGCCATGTGTCGCAGCGCGCACTCCCCGTGCACTTGCAAGAAAGATCGCCGTGGTTGCCTACAGCGAAGAAGCCAATGCATAGCGTCGCGACCTAAACGCAGGTCAGTTGCGATCTAAAACTACTTGCGCCTGCGCTTCGCCGAGTTCGCCGAGCCTGCGCTCGGGCCCGCACTCCCTGAGCTGCCACAAGAAGGGCGGCTCCCTGAGCTGCCGCGACATGGGCCGTCTGCGAGGGACCCCAGTGCCTCGTCGGAGTCGCCATCGGTAACGACAGGGCGCAGGTATGCACGAGTGTCAGGTTTCTCCGTGGCGAGGGCTTTCATGAACACCCACTCGAGCACTTCTGGCGTTGGCTGCACAAGTAGCCTCGAAGGTGACACATTCAGGGGCATGCTCGTTTTGACGGCATCGACCTCGAAGTCATACACGCGGAACGCAGGCATCTCCACGTCCACCAACGGGTTGACCCCTTGCTGCCCTTCAGCAAGGGCCCTGAGGGCCTTCTTCTGAATGTTCTGGCGGTACGCCGTCAGCTCTGCGGCGGAAACGTGAGACTCATCATGACCAAGTGCGTCTTTCGACGCCGCCTTCTGGAGGTCCAGGAGTTCGCTGATCACCTTCGAGGCCACCACCGAATACGCCCTGGAACCATGAAGCCACTGAAAGAAGTCCTTGTCGCCTTTGCAGAGAGCGACGAACTCAACCCCTCCCACGTTGACTACCTCTGCCCCGCGCCAGCTGGCGTTGCCAGGAATCGGGCCGGTGATCGTCAAGGTGCGAGTGCTCTCGATAGCCGTACGATTCTTGATCGCACTGATGACATCATCGATTGCCGCCGACTTGGCCTTGGCAGCAGTCATCTCAGCGAGAGTTGGCATACTGGAGGCGCGGGCACAAGGGGGCGGTATATGTCGAGGCAACTTGAGGTTGCACGAGCTAAAACGGCTGCGGCTGAAGATGGAGATGTGGCTTGCGATGGTGCAAGCGACTGCAATGATGATTGTGATTGGACACAAGCACAACTAGACTCGCAACCGAACCCATGCTAATGATGACGACGCTGACGACGCAGACGACGACCTGCGAGATGGCGACAGCAGCAGTGTTACCGATCAATGGCAGGGAGGGAAGGAAGGGCACGCGCGGGCGCAAGCACGGCGCGCCTTCGCTGTGTAGAAGCCCTCGACGTAAAGACGGGCGGCGGCAGAGGGCGGGGGGTCTGCCTCTTGTGGCTGTTGCTGCTGCTGCTGCTGCTCCTCCTCCTATTCCTCTTCGTGCTCCTCCTCCGCCTCTCCTCTCTTTCTCTTCCTCGTCCTCCTCCTCCTCCTCCTCATCCCATCCCATCCTCCTCATCCCATCCTCCTCCTACGTCTGATCCTGCTCCTGCTGCTCCCCCCTCTCATGCTCCTCAATCTCCTTCCTCCTCCTCGACGCTCCTTCCTCTTCCTCCTCCTGCTCCTCCTCCTCGCCGCTCCTTCTCTTCGACGTTTTTGTCGCGGTCCTGAGCCACTGTATTACCACATCGGCTGAAACAAATTCAAGGACGACGGTTGAGGCTGCTCGAACCCCCTCCCTCGACCACGGTTCCAGAGGGGCCTCCATGCAGGGGGCCTCCAGAGGGCCTCCAGGGGGAAGGAGGGGGCGGATGAGAAGGAAGAGGCGGAGGAGCGAGGAAGAGGAGGAAGAGGAGGAGGAAGAGGAGAAGGAGGAGGAGAAGGAGGAGGAGGAGGAGGAAGAGGAGTGGCTTGGCGACACTCGCATTGCATAAGATTAATCATCAATTGGCCAGCTCAGAGCACAGGCCGAGGTTCGATGAACATCGCAACGACATGCGGCACTGCATCGAGACATGCTGACGCGAGTGCGCTTCACCCCATCGCACATGGCAGCATTAGCTTGACCAAACACATCCAAGCTTCTCAAAGCTTGCTGGGACAAACCACGGGCGCCTGTTCGCAGGCGAGGCTGGCGAGAAAAGAAGAAAAGCTGGCGAGATAAGCGACACGTGACCAACTGCCCTCCCCCTCCCTACTGGCATCTCCTCGACTCCATCCTGGTACTCATCCTCCGCCGTCCTAAGATCAATCATTGCCGTGGCCTCTTCTTAGGCTGCCACGGGCAACAAAGGAGCTCTGCATTGGCCTTTAGATCGACAGTGTTTGTCATGACAGGCAAGTAAAAATTGAAGCCGTGAGAATGCAGCAGGCCTTCTACTGATAGCTGAGTGGTCTCGCACACGCCTACATTCTCAATGATCATGTTTGCCTTCTGGCCCTCCACAGGCTCGGCGACGGCCCAGAAGGGCGGAACGATTGCCTTTGCAGTCGACTTGGGACCTGGGAGGACGATGTGGGATAGCAGGCTGAACGCGATGGGGGGCCTCTCCACCATCTTGCCGAGATCGAGCCCCTTAGTGCAAGGCGTATCTCCATCACGATCCTCGATCTTCGTCGTCGTCGGCACGAAGACAAGGTCGCCCTTTTTCACTGCCTCTGTAGTCCTGACCGAGAAGGGGTTGGCATAGATCTTGATCTTATCGTATGACGAGTTCTGTATCGACCAGGCGCGCCAGGCACACTAGGATGGAGCCCTTGGTGTGGCTGGCAATCCACTCCCTGGATGCCTCAGGCGAGTGCAAGCTGGAATCGATCTCGTACTGGATCTTGGCAGTGGTGGCCGCCCAGTCGGCTTTGAGTTTCTCAAGGTCCAGCTGCAAGGGTTGGCCATTCTCAAAGACGCCCGTCGGCATCAGCGTGGCGCCGTCTGCGGTGAGCTGCTCAAGCGTGTAGTGGGTGCACTGGTCCTTGCTGTCCTTGCTGGCGCCGCTGCTCCTCCTCTTCACGATGCAGCCCTCGGTAAAGCCGAGCCTCTGCATCTGGAACGCAGCGTCCTTCAGCTGCGCCATGGACTGCGTCGTCAAGCTGGCGGCCGCGGACTGTGGCTCCTCCTCCTGCTGCTCTGCTAGGTCGTCGCTGCTCCTGGTAGCAACCACCTGACGAAAGAAAGAAGTGGGGGAAGAACGAGATCGGATTCTGTTGAGGATATCTGTTATCGTGGCTGTTTCTGTTGATTTGAACTGGTGTCTAAACTGACTTTCGGGGGAGGTGACCCCCCACCTGACGCGGCCTCTTCCCGAGGATCCTCTCGTTGGGAAGCCAAGGGTTGTCCAATGGCGTGCCGACGTAGGCGGACAGTTGGTCAACAAATGGTTGACCTGCGTGCTCCAGCGACTCGTGCTCCTTGCCTTGCCTGCTCTGCTTGCCCTTCCTCAGGACGCGGTTGGCGAGGGCAGTGTCGTGCAGCGCAAGCATCTCCATGCATTTGGCTCTTGGGACATTATGCTCAGCCAGCATATCCCTCGCCAAATCCATCATGCCTTCAGCTTGGAGCACAGCAGCTTGGGACCCCTTGGCAACGAGTTTGTTGAGGTCGGACGCCTTCTCCAAGGAGCACTTGTAGCCGACCACCTGGATGGTCAAAAATGCGCAGCCCTGGACGCAGCCCACCACGCCCCCGTGCCTTGCGCTGGCGAGGACTTAGAGGGGGAGTGGTGGATGCATCCAAGTGCGTGCACATGTTAACCATCGCCGAACCTTCTCCAAGGGGCTGAGCGCATTCGAGAGGAACGCCGCACCGCGCACACGGTGGAGCTGCAGTACCCCAGGCCACTTGAGGCTCGCGGGCTTCTCGTAGAACGCGCCTCCGATGTAACCGAAGTTCGCGGTGGCGGTCTTCGGGGCCTTCACCGCCGCATTCTTCATGTCTCTCAGCTCGGTCAGCTGATCGGTGGCGGTAAGCTTGGTAAATTTGGCCAGGCTTACGGCCAAGCCGCTTCAGAAAGGATGGTTGCTGACAGCCTCGCTCTCAGCGTAACTCCACGCCTCCTGCTCGGACTTCTTCGCGCCGGTGGCGAGGGCGTAGTTGCTGTGCATCGTCAGCAGGCCCTCCAACTCGGACTGATCTTGCTCCCCTGGCCAATTCAGCGCCTTTTGCCCCAGCGGCACTAAGGAAGGCCATCGCTCCACGACTTCCTCGGCAACGATCGTCCAGGTCAGGCCTTGCTCAAGCGCCTTCCTGAGGCTGGGATGCTTGCCTCCAAGGTCGGAAGGGTCAAGCCTCCCAGTGGGGGCAAGCTTCTGGTTGGCGCACTCCGTCCTTGCGCTTGCCCCGCGGAGGAAGCAAGTGTTGTGGCTACTTCCGAACGAGACTGCGAAGATACTCTCAAACTCAGGCATCCCCTGCGTCGCAGCAATGCGATTGTTGAAGGCCAGCAGCTCCTCGGTGCGCGCGGTGCCAGGCTTCGCCTGGACGGCGAACGCCCCTTGGTTGGCGCGAGCCAGGCTGCAGCCAGCGCCACAGTGCTTGGCGGCGCTGTTCAAGGCGCTCTGGAAGCAGACTCCAATCCCACCGCGGTTATTGGGCTCGACGCCTACGAATCGAGGCAAGATTTGCTGAGGCCAGAGCAAGGAACTGTGCTCCGACAAGGTCTCCACAATCTTGTCCCATGTCTTGACTACCTCCTTGTCCTTCTCGTACGCAGCGAAAGCGGCATCCACAGTTGGCGCAACTGCGTCCAGCGCCGTCTGAAGGGGGCTCGCCATCAAGGGCGTCGACTGGCGCCTTCAGGTGAACAGGACTCTGAAATGCAGTTCACACCTGGAGCCAAAATGGGCTACGCTGGTTCGGAGAAGGGGGATGTGAGGAGGAGGAGGAGGGATACTTCTGGTAGGGCTTCTGTGGGCTAAACAACTTAGCAGGCTTGCTAAATCCTTGGTAAACCCTGTGCTAAAGGGTTACCCTGATTAGCTGGGCTGCTTAGCTAAATACTTAAGCAGTTTAGCTAAGACTCTGCTAAACCGTTACCACGTGCCGCCCCTGGATAGCTAAATGCATAGCAAGGCCATAGCACAAGCCGTAAGGGTTTGTGATAATCCTTAGCGAACCTAGCATCAGTAATGCAACGGCCCGTAAGACCACAAATGATTACATGGCATAGCAATCGGTTGCAGAAGATACACAATACATGGCACAGCATTACCAGGACTTGCCATGCAAATACTGGTGGATTGGTAACACCTTACATCCCTCTCAAGCGTTTGCAAAGCGCTGACCGCTCCAAGTGGGCCCTGGAAACGACAGGGCCGTTTTTTTACCGGTTCTGTTTTGCCGTTTTTCTGCCAATTCCGACGCCGTCTTTTACTGGTTCCGTCGCCGTTTTTGGACCGGTTCCGGCTCCGGTTCCAATCCTGGAGCCGTTTTTTTGCCGTTTCCGGTCGCCGTTTTTTTGCCGATTCCAATTTCAAGGGGCATTTTTTTGAAACGGTGTTAAAGCGGCGCTGCCGTTTCCGGGGCCCGCAGAATAACAGGTTCCCCGTAACCGGGGTGCTGGTAACCGGGGAACCTGGCTACATCCGAGAGGGAAGGGTTCGGAGGCACCACGAGGGAGGCCTTCGCAGGAACGACTGAGGGCCATTTAACCCGATGTAAGGGCCATTTGACCAAGTAAGCCCAGATGACGCCCAAAATGATCGAACAACATGAGACGGAGTTAAGCCGGATTGTCGGTTTTTATCGAGGATATACCAGAGGCGAGGCTGAACTGAATCTCCCAGGAGTTGCATCCAAAGAAAAGGGAGGTACAACAACACGAGGAGCTCGGCATTCATGCAGCTGGCAACTCTTGGGAGGCAAGCTGCAGTCGTCAGCTCCTGGTGTGAAACCACTCTTGGAAGGTCTTTGCGGGCACGATCACGAACTGCTAAATAATACACGGGATCATGAAGCCGGATTCAGAAGCTTCCACCAGGGACAGCGCGAAGCGCAAAGGGAGGGGGGCGAGGAGGGAAACAGGAGGCCGAGGTCGAGAAGGAGGGCCAGGAGGAAAGCAAGGGCGAGGAGGAGACTGGCGAGGAGGAGGAGGAGGCAGAGGAAGAGATGGGCGAAGATGAAAAGGAGGAGGGGAACGCCTCTCGCTTTCCCACCGGTACCCGTCTGGCCGAGGCGTACCCCTCCCCCCCCCCCTGGGGCGAGCGATCTGCGGAGCCGCCTGGCGGAGGGGGAGGAGAGGTCGTCGTCGTCGTCGAACGCAGGCATGGCAAGAGACGTGCTCCGTGGCTAAATACGGTGAGGGCGTTGGACAAGAAAAACCATTGGATCAGGAATCCAGGGAGCTGGAAGCTGGTGACCCTCCGATCCTGGATGGGCCATGGATACCACCGCCGCCCTCATCAGATCAGGAATCCTCCAGGGTCTGAAGCCTCCTGAAGACATTCCCCAACGAACGCCCGAACAGTAGAGAGAGCGCTCGGAGCCCTGACAGGCGGAAGAAGGGCGGAGGCGGCAGAGAGGTGGGGAGGCGGAGGAGGGGGGGGCGGGGGGGGCGGGGAAGCCGGAGGCGGAACGTAGGAGGGAGGTGGGAAGCAGGAGGGGAGTCAGGAGGGAGGGAGGACTTGGGCACGTCTGTGAAGTGTTGACCTGCCTTGGGGGGAGGATGGTGGATGAGGATGAGGATGATGAGGAGGAAGAGGAGGATGAGGAGAAGGAGGAGAAGGAGGAGGAGAGGGAGGAGAACAAAGGGAGGAGGAGGAGGAGGAATAATGAGGATGGAGGCAGGAGGGGTGAGGAGGGAGGGGCGAGGAGAGGGAGGGACAGCGAAGAAGTGGTTTCGGAAGCTTCGAAGGAGAGACGAGGAAGGCACGCGGAGCGAGTCAGGCGGGAACGAGGCGAGAGAGAGAGAGAGAGAGAGAGAGCGAGCGAGACGACGGGACGAGTCTGGCAGACCCGAGCCTTTTTTGGGGGAAGGAGGGAAGGTCGGGAGGAGAGGAGGAGGAGGAGGAGGAGGAGGAGGAGGAGGAGGCAGGAGCAGGGAGCAGTGGAGCAGCAGGAGAACGAGGAGGAGGAGGACTCCGCGGCTCCGCCGCCGTGGCGCAGCTCGTGGGGCTGGAGGCGCCCCTGCCTGGGATGAGACTGGTGTGAGGCTAATCTGGGGGCGAAACGGACATCCCAGACCCCATCGGGTAATGAAAAAATCATGACAGGAGGTTTTTCCTATTTGTTCTGCCTTTCGAGGCCCTAACCGGCCCTCGGGACCGTTAAAAAACGACTCAGGATGAAAAACTGGTCCCGGGGAATGGGTCGAGATCTTTGGCGGTCGACGTCATGAAAAAATCATGACGTCGGGGGTCTGGGATGAGCGAGGGGGGCCGACGCGAAGCGAGGAAGATGACGCAGAGGGAGGAGAGGGGCGAACCAGATGAAGGAGGACGACGGCGGCGACTGGCCGCGACTGATGCTTCCTCTCTCGCCACCGCTGTTGCCACCATGCAGATGTATGTGGATGCTTGCATGTGGCGCTCACTTCCTGTGATTATCAAAAGGGCCCGTGGTGTCCGCATCTCTCAATCCAAAGGGCCATCACGCCTCACTCGGTATTGCTGCCATCGGTTTGACCCACACCTTCTCAGCGCTGTTCGCCTCCCCTTTCCACTGCATGCGCGTTCCCTGCTTCGTGCTGTTTTCACTCGGGGGGGTGAGGACACGGCGATGTCACCTGGCAGCGCCTGGGAAATCATAGTGGCTACGCACAAACATGCAAAAAACGGTGTACACAATTTGTGTCGTGGATGGACAGGAACCCCTTTAGTGAAACGTGGTTTATGTGAAAACGACCTCGGGCCCAAACCTGGCAGCCGCAAGCCTGGAAAATGACGGCCGCGCCGTTTCTCTGATGATCGAAAACGGACAATTCACTCATCGACGTAATTATCAGGGTGGGGCTTCCGTCCACCCCCGATTTTTTGGGGGGGGCCATGGAGCCTCAGGCTACCTCTGTGGAGTGGCGTCCGTCGGCCAGACGCACGGCGTGCAACAGTACCCCTGGCCGACACCCTCGGCCGCCTCTGGCGTCTACGAGGGGCCTCCGCGCCTCCTCGGCACCCTCTGGGCGCCGTGCCCAGGGCCGACCCTGCAACGCGACCACCCCCATCCCAGACCCCTGGCGTCGTGAATGCTTCGCGACGTCGTACCCCCAGAGCTCTCGACCCCTTGCCCAGGACCGGTGTCCCACCCCGAGTCGGTGTTGGGACGGTCCCGAGGCCCAGGGAGGGCCCCCCTGGAGGCCCAAGATCGTGAAAAAAACTCCGGATGCTTCCACAACGCGATGGGGTCCGAGATCAATGTCGGGCACAATTTGCGGGCCCAGGAAACGGCAGGGCCAATTTTTCACCGTTTCCAAAAAAATGTCCCTTGAGAATGGAAACGGCAAAAAAACGGCGACCAAAAGCGGCAAAACAACGGCTCCAGGATTGGAACCGGAGCCGGAACCGGTCAAAAAACGGCGAAGGAACCGGTAGAAAAACGGCGGTCGGAACCGGTAACAAAAACGGCAAAACGGAACGGGTAAAAAAACGGCACTGTCGTTTCCAGGGCCCACCAAGCCCCAGAGTTCTCGACCCCTTGCCCAGGACCGGTGTCCCACCCCGAGTCGGTGTTGGGACGGTCCCGAGGCCCAGGGAGGGCCCCCCTGGAGGCCGAAGATCGTGAAAAGACCTCCCGATGCTTCCACCACGCGACGGGGTCCGAGATCAGTGTCGGGCACGACCTCGTGATACGATGGCGTGAATTACTTTTTACACACTGGCCGACCGACTCCGGAAAGCCGCGACTGCACAACATGCTAGCGAGTCATTTGTGTCTGCTTCCGCTGCCGCTTCTTCCTTCCGCCACCTTCGGCCGCAGGCGCGGGGTCCACCGACGCTTTTTGGGCCGGCGGCGAGGCAGAGGTGGCTGCAGCAGCGACAGAGCTAAAGGGGGGCACCGAGAAGCGAACGGGGTCCACCGACACAGCCAGGCAAGGCGTGCGAAGCGCTCAGAACATGTTCGCGCTTCCAGGGGAAGGCAAGGGCTTCCATCTCGACATCTTCACTAACCTCGCCAAAACTCACCAAACGGTATGGCGACACAAACCCCCGACTTAGCGGGACCTTCGCCTGGACACGAAATGTGGGGCCCACCTCGGGGATATCCGATGAAGGCGTCCATCGTCGAACGCCCACCTCCGAGACATCCGATATCCGATGTGCGTCCGAATAGCCCGCCTCGGGGTGTATCCGCGAGTTCCGCTTCTTTTCCAATCCTCAAGCCTTTAAAGGGCAGCTCGTGGACTGGGGGACGAAAATTGCTTTCGAGCATTGGTGCGCCGTTGCGGTAATCGCATGCTTGGTCTACTCCCTTGCACGACACCAACTGGGTCGTTCACCAATCCCCCTCTCACACACCATGGACCGTCTGGGGCGTGGGCAGGACGGCCCTAACAATCACACTTGGGCACTTGGGAGACGCTGCGCCGCTAAACAATGATTAGATTAGACGATGCGCTACGCGCGGGCCCCAAATCATTTGGGTATGTTTACCTCCATGGCCAACTTCGCGTGGTCTGGGGCTCGACCCTCCTCGAGCGCCTCGCCGCTAAAAGAAATCAAAGGACGAGGGGGAGAAGGAAGAGAACGAGAAGGAAGAAGAGGAGGAAACGGACGAGCAATAACTCGTACCGGGGAGGAGAACAGCACTGGTGGAACGAAATCGCGCTATCAACATCACGTGTCTCTTGGAAATCCGATGTGGCATCTTCTCAAATTGTCGAAATGGCCATATCGCGCATTTATCGCAGCATCAGTTGGCGCATATTTCCCGCATACCTGACTATTTCCACCGAGCTTATGTCCCGAACAAGTTATGAATATATGCAATTCACCAGTGGGATGTTCGAATTACCTTTCCGATGTGATGATGTGCTGGCATGTGTTGCAGAACCACCTTGCTGAGCAGCCTGAACGTTGCTTCACGAATCGGGAAAAGTAAAATAGTCGTTTGGTGTGTAACGGCCTCCATTGGTTGTCCCCATGTTTGGCAGCTTCGCGTTTGGACCTAACAAGTGGGGGAGCTGATGCAAAGCCACCGACTCTGCTGAAGTACTGGCGTTTTCAGATTTCAACTTCTCCCCTTTGTTCCTGCGCGTGCTGGGAATACATCGCCATGCCGTTTTTCAAACGCTCCAGGTCATACCATACACGAGACAACATAAGCTCGATTTGCTAATTCTCCAATTGCAAGTGATCCCACCATAAAGCGATGCCCTGCATCATGATCTCGCGCAATTCCTTTTGCAAGAAGGCTGCCGCACGCCAAGGCTGAACAGCGGCATCATCCAGATGTTCAAGGGGCTCATTCTGCAGTGAATTTGCATGAGAAGGAGACACGGCAACGGCAACGTCGTACAGCGAACCGCGCAGTTACACACAGCTAACTTCACCGCTGCTCGACATCTCTGATAAGCAACTTGCCAAATTGATAATATGGGCCTGGCGTGGGCTAAAAAGAAATCCGTCCCATTTGCAAATTCGGCGATTCCGGCGTCGCACTCTTTGGAACATCCGTATGTCACGTTCTGCGCTGCCCCGATCGTGGCAAGATTGCACCACAGCCTTTTCCCGTTGAAGTCGTTTTCTCTTGGACCTCTGTGAAAATGGGTCCTGGAGCTTCTGTCGATCACGCTTCAGATCGCACGAATCAGACTACCGGGAAAGCTTGGAGGTCGAGTTAAGGGCCGACGGTGCCGCACGTGCTCTACGGTCTAGCGATGCGCGGCAACGTAAACCAAACATCTTCGTAAGCACCAATACGGGCGATAATCCGTCGTCGCGTGTGCGCTTCGCTGCGTATTGACGGGGCTGAGCAAACAACCCAGCCGCACACGCGACTAACTATTATGCCTTGCCAACTCCTTCCCGTCCATCGCCTCTGACTTCCTGGAGTATGCTTCGAGAACACTCTCTGGCGAGAAGCTCCTGTATATCCTCCTGGCGTGACGCTGTAATTGTTCTGCCTCCGAAGGCACTGGAACACCAAACAATCAAAATGAAACGTTGGAACCACAGTGGCTTGAACCATGATGGCTACAGAAAACATACGGTGTGCGAAACCATCCAAACGAACAATAACGCTGGATCAGGCAAAAATGCGAAGCAACCCATGTTCCACCGGATTCAGCCCGATTTGAACCGACCCGTCGAACTTTTGCAACTGAGGGGACACCGTAGCCTCCGACAGACGTTCGGGACGATCTGGGTACCACCAGAAAAACCCTCGACGAGGCGCAGGTGGCGGAAAGCATCCCGATGTGAGAATACCTTCAAGAGCCGACGGAAACATCCTCCTACTCCACCTTCTACGGCGAAAACGTCCTCCTCCCCCCCTTCCTGGACGTCCCCGAGATATGGCTCCGTCGGCGTCTGGACCAGTAGGTGGCTACATCCGAACCCTACCCACAGAGGCGGGGGGTGGTGCTTGGACTTCGCCCCACGCGTCCGACGAAGTCCGACCCCTACCCCCGCCGCCCACCGAGTTGCCTGAATCGGCGAGGCAAGACGAAGGTAACAGCGGGTGAGGGTAAGTCGAGAATCTCTGAGATCCGACGGCTCTGGAAGATGTCTCGGGTGCCGCGGCCTTCTCAGAGCGTTCCGGAACGCTCTGAGAGCGTTTCGGGACGCCCCAAAACGGATCGATCCTCGTCCTAGCCCCGTCCGCTTCGCCTTCATAATAGGCACCCCGACAAGCGAAGCCGTTCCGTAGACGCACCCCGACGAGGGTAGGCTGCGGATTTCGCTTCCGATGCACCACATGATCGGCGGACGCGGCTGGTCGACCTCTTGGCCCGCCGCAGAGCCCCGCGCCGAGCGAGGCGAGCCGCAGGCCCGCGGCAGGAATCGCCTCTGGGATCAAACAGCAAGGGCCGCCTCCGTGCTGAACTCAGGTCGGGCATGTCCCCCTACAGGGGGATGTTGGGCGAAAAATTGAAAATACCAAACAATACCCCCAAATAGCAAGAAAATGCTCAACACATCGTCACAAACTATGTTTGACGATTTTTGAATTCTCCTCCTGTAGAATGACAGCACTCCGACTCAATGCTGAGACCTGGCCGGACAGACTGATCGGGGTGGGACGTAAGACGAAGCCAGGACGAGGATCAAATCAGGTACGGATCGATCGAGAATCTCTGGGATCTGGGCTCTGGAGAAAACCTCGGGCGCCGCGGCCTTCTCAGAGCGATCCGGGACGCTCTGAATGCGTTCCTGAACGTTCTGGAACGGACCTAGGGGGAGGGGAGGAGGAGGCGGAGCAGGAGGAGGACGAGGAGAAGGAGAAGAAGAGGAGGAGGAGGAGGAGGAGGAAAGGGAGGAGGAGGAGGAGGAGCAGGAGGAGGAGGAGGAGGAAAAGGGAGGAGGAGGGACGCATTCCGGAACGCTCTGGAACGGATTTGCCCTCGCCCTGGCCCCGTCCGATGGCGGCCGTCGGTGAAACAGCGCGCGCGGGATCGGAAACGTGGGGCGGCAGGACCTCCGTAGATCCACGGCCCCGCCGGGCAGCACAACATCGGGGTGAGACAGCTGTCGGTGAAGCCACGCGCGCGGGGCGGAGTATACTGTGGAGGCCAGTCCACAAGAAACTTCCCACAAGAAACCCAACCATCAGACCCCAGGAAGTCCATGGATTTGTGTGGTGTGGGAAAGTCACGCTTCCCATCGCCAGAACAATTAGCCTGGCGAAGGACCCAACCATATGCAGTTGTGAAGACCGCAATTGTGAATACCATGTTCGCCCGCGCTCTCTATGTGGCCACGGCTTCCCGCCGGAGCCCGACATGCTCAAGGACACGTTCGTGGCCGTCTTCGCGGGCGCCGACGACGAGGACGGCGTCCCTCTGACAGAGGAACAGAAGCAGGAGAGGGCTCTGAGAGCCATGAGGCAGGAGGTGGCGATGCATGTCGACAAGGCGGAGTACGACGCTCAGGCGCGGTTGTTGAAGCAGCACAACTATGGGGTCACGATCCTCGTGAGGGGTGTGCCGAAATGGCCTGAGGCCGCCATGCGAGCCCTGCCACTGGCGCCTTCGGTGGAGCTCCCATGGGGCCACGATCCTCGTGAGGGGTGTGCCGAATTGGGCCGCCATGCGAACCTTGCTACTGGCACCGTCGGTGGAGCTCCCTATGGTGCCACGATCCTCGTCAGGGGTGTGCCGAACTGGCCCGAGGCCGCCATGCGAACCCTGCCGCTGGCGCCTTCGGTGGAGCTCCCTATGGGGCCACGAAACGCCGTACTGGGTGGGTGAAGCGCAGGGCGGAAGGAGGAGGGGGGAGGGGGAGGAGGGAGAAAGGAGGAACGCGGGGACCGCTTCTGTTTTTTTCAAAACGAGGACCCAACACCACAGAATGGTTGGGAACAAGCCATCGAGGCCCAAGAAGCCCAGCGCACCCCTGGAGGCAAGCAGGGGGTGCTTCTGGGCATGGCCCTCCACTCGGGATTCCCGAAACGGTGCGGTGACAGACCGTGCGGTGACCTCGAAATCCCCCAATACCTCACGGCACGGTCCGTCACCGCACGGTCCTGGGACCTCGGAGGCCCCTGTCGCCCAAAACCGTGCGGTGACCCAGAATCCCCACTGGCTCACCGCACGGTGTAGTCACCACGCCGTTCCCAGACCCCCGACGTAATGATTTGTTCATCACGTCGACCCCCAGAGGTCCCGACCCTTTTCCCATGACCGGCTTTTCATCCTGAGCCGTTTTTTGACGGTCCCGAGTCCTGGCGAGGGCCCCCGGAGGCCGAAAATCAAGAACAACCTTCCGTCCTGATTTTGTCATGACTCGAGGGGTCTGGGCTTGGGGGCCCCCGAGTGCTTCTTGGCATGGGCCGCCTCCACTGGAGGGGGGCGGGAGGGGGAGGAGGGAGGAGGGAGGAGGAGGAGGAGGAGGAGGAGGAGGAGGAGGAGGAGGAGGAGGAGGAGGAGGAGGAGGAGGAGGAGGAGGAGGAGGAGGAGGAGGAGGAGGAGGAGGAGGAGGAGGAGGAGGGGCGGCGTGCGCGCTCTCGCCTGGCTCGGCCGGGGAGGCCCGCGCGCCGCGCCCGGCTCGGCAGGCCGCACGTGCAGGGGGCCGCTGCCGTGCGCAGACATAAAAAAGCGAATGTTGCAGTGAGCTGGATGCCTTACCAGCCTGGAACAGAATCGCTTGCTCCTCCTCCTCCTCCTCCTCCTCCTCCTCGTCCTCCTTCTCCTCCTCCTCCTCCTCCCCCTCCTTCCTCTCCTCTTTGATCGGATGCCGCCACCGAAGGATCCTCTTGCACCGGGATCGAAGAAGACAAGCATGCGCAACCAGAAACCTCTCGGCGGCCCGCGCAGATGTGCGGATCGCCGCCTGTTACCAGCCTGGAACAGATCCCTGTCCCTATGCTGGCCACCTCCTCATCACGATGCCAATCTTGGGGATTCCCTTATTTTTCGAGGGCGAGTCCCTGGGATTGTCATCGCCTTTTGGCGTGTCAATCTTAGGGATAGGGATAAGTTCGAGGCTGGTAAGTGCAGGGGTCGCTGCCGCGCGTAGACAGAAAACTGGAGGCCTGGAAGTGGGCACCAACACCAAAACAGGAGGGTTCCTCCACAGGGGAAAGACGATCCTGGATTCTGGTGCTGGTGGTAACAGTTAGGTCGCCTTGGAAGCCAGAATATTACCACCGCCGCCGAGATTGGATCTTCTTCCCTCGGTGGAGGCACACCGCCGATCTTGGTGCTGGTGTCAACCTCTGGGCCTGCGATAAAAAAACGAATGCTGCAGTGAGCCGGATGCCAGGCGCCAGCTCGGGGGCCCACGCGGGCCAGCAGCAGCGCAGCAATCCGCTGGCCACCCTCGTGGGGGCCACCCGGCTGAACGGCCCAGGCCTTCACGGCTTAGCGGGTGAGTGCTCAGCAGTGCAGGTTGGGAAAGTCGGAACATGGAAACCTTCTCGGCAGCTCAGCAAGCTAGCAACCACCACGTCTACGGACCTCATTGACCCACCAGAACCTCGGAAGCGCGTAGTCTTCCGATTGCCCGAGTTCTACGTTTCTCCACGCGCGACCCCCATCCATGGGCCCGAAACGTATCTATACTCCAAACTCACTCCTCCGAGCAATTGGTACAAGGACGCTTATGGGAAAGAACAACAGCATGTGAGCGTTTTTGTTCCCTTCCCGGGTAACGGTCGTTACCCGGGGGGGGGGGGGCGGGCGGGAGGATAACAGTAACGACGGCGGCCGCAGAGTGCACCCGCCAGGCATCCATCGCCTGTGTGCGCCAAAGTCCTTGTGCACACGAAAAGACCAAATGCCTGCGTGCAACACAGCACAGCGGCGCCTGTGTACACCACAATGCCTCCGCACACCACAACAGCAGCGTGCACCGCAGCACCACGTCGCCGGTGTACACCGCAGTGCCTGCGTAAACTGCAGCAGCCGTGTGCGCAACAGCGCCTGTGTATACCAGATTGCATGCGTGCACCCGACCGCTTGTGTACACCACAGCAACCATGTGCACCGCAACGCCTGTGCACGCCACAATGCCTCCGTGCACCGCAACGCCTTTGTACACCAGAACGCCAAACGTGCCAACGAGCACATTAGTAGTTTGCGAGGCTTCTTTGCGGGGCTCGCCACAGATCACGGAGGTCCTCAGGACTCGTCATTCATCCCCTCCTCATCCACCTCAGCGTTCTTCCTCCTCCACATCCTCCTCCCCCTGCGCCTCCTCCTCCCTCTCCTCTTCCTCTCCTCTTTCAACGGTCCTGGCGGCCTTCGTTGAGAAGGGGAATACGGAGCAGGAGGAGGAGCAGCAGGAGCAAGAGGAGCAGCAACAGGAGGAGCAGCAGGAGCCTCACGACGGGGTCGAAAGCTCCACCGCCGTCGGCGTTAGTCTCTGACACCGCGTGCATCGTTCAATCTTGAACGAGATCCGCTCCTGGAAGACGGGAGGCCCTCGACCCCATCTTCAACATAGATTTCGCGCCGTGGGCTCGTTTCTGCGGGTCCCGGGACCCGAAACGCCCCCTGCGTCGCGTTCAACCTCGAACGCCCGCTCAGCCGAAAAACGCTCGACATCGGCCGCCCGATCCGCCGCCCTCCGAGTAAGGCACCTCGGCAGTGAGTCCGCCTGACCTATGCGCACCGCAATAGCCTGCAAGCGCCATGCTTCAACACCGAAACCTTCCTTGCAATACCACGCCATTCCTGTGAGCTCGGCGCTGCAACAGGTGGATCGCCTGCGAGCGCCACAGCACGTTTGTGAGCACCAAGGCATGCCGTTTAGCCCCACGCCATGCCTGTGAGCACAGCGCCATACCTGCGGGGGGTCCGGCCCCCTAGCATGAAGTGGGGGGGTCCAGGCCACCCCGCCCAGGCACGATCGTTAGGGTTACCCAGGGGTGAGGGAGGGTAACAAAAACGCTCACCGTGAGCATAAACTGCTGGAGGCCCGCGCGGATTTCGTAGATCCGCGCTGGGCCCCCCTGCCTGGCGCGCGGAACGCGCCATGGGGCGGCGCCGGAAGCGCCGCCGGGGGAGCCTGGCGCGGACCCAGGAAGTCCGCGCCGGGCTCTAAATTGTGTGCATGCTGTTTCTCGTCGTCGATGGGTCTGCTTGCCCAGGACCACGGACACTCGTGAAACACACTCTTGGTGCAACTTGAAGCGCTGTTGCTTGAGCCAACTGCCGCCGTTGCTGCATGCTGTCGTTTGCCGTTGCCGTCCGCTGCTTCGTGCTGCTGGCTGCTGCACATTGCTGCCTTTTGCTGGTTGGGGGCCTTCCTTTGCGTCTCTGGGGGCCTCCCTTGGGGCCTATCATGCCGTTGAACTAAGCCCTTGGGGTGTTTTCTGCAGTACTGGGACATTATGCACCATTCTGGGGCTATCTGAAGACTTACTGGGGCCCTTTAGAGGCTTTGTTGGGCCGTCCTAGCAGCGCCATCTTGGGCCGTCGTGAAGATTGACCGCCTTTGCCCCCATCAGCCCCCCCCCTCGTGCTGCCTTGGGCGTGGGCCGTTTTGGGCCGTTCTTGATGTGTGCCGTATTCGAATCGTCTCACGCCCTATTGTAATCATGTTGAGCTAGGAGCCGTACGTCGCCAAACATGTCAACTTTCGGCGTGTGTCATTTTGGGCGGTTCTGAGGGCCCTCCTGGGACATCTTCGACGAGGCTCCCCAGATCCTCGTGGAATCATGCCGAGCCAAAAAGCAAAACCAAATCATTGGCCATCTGGATGTTGGGCAATGTGGGTTCTACCGTGCCTCTTGCTGTGCATCTTGAAACTTCGGCTGGTGCTGATTGGACATCTCATGAGCCGTCCGAAGGCACTTCTGCTGTCCTCTCGGGGAAACTTGACCACCTCCTGGGCGGTGTTTGACGCCTCCGGTAGCTCAAGTCTGCGAACAACATAATTTGCTCGACCGTGCAGATACATATATCTGCCCATTGACATTTGTTCTCGACGATGAAAGACGTCGCGCTCCTCGTCATCCTATTCATCCTGCCTGCCAAGGATGCTACACCTCGTGGGTGAGGGAGGGTAACAAAAACGCTCACCGTGAGCATAAACTGCTGGAGGCCCGCGCGGATTTCGTAGATCCGCGCTGGGCCCCCCTGCCTGGCGCGCGGAACGCGCCATGGGGCGGCGCCGATAGCGCCGCCGGGGGAGCCTGGCGCGGACCCAGGAAGTCCGCGCCGGGCTCTAAATTGTGTGCATGCTGTTTCTCGTCGTCGATGGGTCTGCTTGCCCAGGACCACGGACACTCGTGAAACACACTCTTGGTGCAACTTGAAGCGCTGTTGCTTGAGCCAACTGCCGCCGTTGCTGCATGCTGTCGTTTGCCGTTGCCGTCCGCTGCTTCGTGCTGCTGGCTGCTGCACATTGCTGCCTTTTGCTGGTTGGGGGCCTTCCTTTGCGTCTCTGGGGGCCTCCCTTGGGGCCTATCATGCCGTTGAACTAAGCCCTTGGGGTGTTTTCTGCAGTACTGGGACATTATACACCATTCTGGGGTTATCTGAAGACTTACTGGGGCCCTTTAGAGGCTTTGTTGGGCCGTCCTAGCAGCGCCATCTTGGGCCGTCGTGAAGATTGACCGCCTTTGCCCCCATCAGACCCCCGCCTCGTGCTGCCTTGGGCGTGGGCCGTTTTGGGCCGTTCTTGATGTGTGCCGTATTCGAATCGTCTCACGCCCTATTGTAATCATGTTGAGCTAGGAGCCGTACGTCGCCAAACATGCCAACTTTCGGCGTGTGTCATTTTGGGCGGTTCTGAGGGCCCTCCTGGGACATCTTCGACGAGGCTCCCCAGATCCTCGTGGAATCATGCCGAGCCAAAAAGCAAAACCAAATCATTGGCCATCTGGATGTTGGGCAATGTGGGTTCTACCGTGCCTCTTGCTGTGCATCTTGAAACTTCGGCTGGTGCTGATTGGACATCTCATGAGCCGTCCGAAGGCACTTCTGCTGTCCTCTCGGGGAAACTTGACCACCTCCTGGGCGGTGTTTGACGCCTCCGGTAGCTCAAGTCTGCGAACAACATAATTTGCTCGACCGTGCAGATACATATATCTGCCCATTGACATTTGTTCTCGACGATGAAAGACGTCGCGCTCCTCGTCATCCTATTCATCCTGCCTGCCAAGGATGCTACACCTCGTGGGTGAGGGAGGGTAACAAAAACGCTCACCGTGAGCATAAACTGCTGGAGGCCCGCGCGGATTTCGTAGATCCGCGCTGGGCCCCCCTGCCTGGCGCGCGGAACGCGCCATGGGGCGGCGCCGATAGCGCCGCCGGGGGAGCCTGGCGCGGACCCAGGAAGTCCGCGCCGGGCTCTAAATTGTGTGCATGCTGTTTCTCGTCGTCGATGGGTCTGCTTGCCCAGGACCACGGACACTCGTGAAACACACTCTTGGTGCAACTTGAAGCGCTGTTGCTTGAGCCAACTGCCGCCGTTGCTGCATGCTGTCGTTTGCCGTTGCCGTCCGCTGCTTCGTGCTGCTGGCTGCTGCACATTGCTGCCTTTTGCTGGTTGGGGGCCTTCCTTTGCGTCTCTGGGGGCCTCCCTTGGGGCCTATCATGCCGTTGAACTAAGCCCTTGGGGTGTTTTCTGCAGTACTGGGACATTATACACCATTCTGGGGTTATCTGAAGACTTACTGGGGCCCTTTAGAGGCTTTGTTGGGCCGTCCTAGCAGCGCCATCTTGGGCCGTCGTGAAGATTGACCGCCTTTGCCCCCATCAGACCCCCGCCTCGTGCTGCCTTGGGCGTGGGCCGTTTTGGGCCGTTCTTGATGTGTGCCGTATTCGAATCGTCTCACGCCCTATTGTAATCATGTTGAGCTAGGAGCCGTACGTCGCCAAACATGCCAACTTTCGGCGTGTGTCATTTTGGGCGGTTCTGAGGGCCCTCCTGGGACATCTTCGACGAGGCTCCCCAGATCCTCGTGGAATCATGCCGAGCCAAAAAGCAAAACCAAATCATTGGCCATCTGGATGTTGGGCAATGTGGGTTCTACCGTGCCTCTTGCTGTGCATCTTGAAACTTCGGCTGGTGCTGATTGGACATCTCATGAGCCGTCCGGAGGCACTTCTGCTGTCCTCTCGGGGAAACTTGACCACCTCCTGGGCGGTGTTTGACGCCTCCGGTAGCTCAAGTCTGCGAACAACATAATTTGCTCGACCGTGCAGATACATATATCTGCCCATTGACATTTGTTCTCGACGATGAAAGACGTCGCGCTCCTCGTCATCCTATTCATCCTGCCTGCCAAGGATGCTACACCTCGTGACCTCGTGCGATACCATGGGTTCGTGCTCCCAAAGCGAGAAACTCCTTCGATAAC